CGGGTCTGCCGGGCCGCGGGGAAGCGCCGGGGAGCTGAGGCGCCGTCTTCAACTCATCAGAGCTTAAGTGCTTGCTGAAGAAAGTGAGAAAAGTAGATTAAAAGGAAGATTTTTTTTTTTTTTTTCAACTTAAAATGTTTGTGATGAGAATGGGGATGGTAAATTTTCAGTTGACATTTGCCACTCATTTTTATCCGCTTTCTTAATAACTTCCCAGGGAAAACAGGATTTGGGAAGTACTGTATTTTGCTTTTATTTTTATGTGACAAAAGTTTGTCTTTTGGGGATGGGGCCACGTTCCCATTTGCGATCATTTTTGTTCCAAATGCAATGATAGAAAGTTAATTTTTAGTTTCTTTTTTCAGATATCCCACTCATAGAATACTGAAATCTCTGTCAGAAATACGCTATTTATTCATGCACCATCACATCTGAACACGGCAAATGACCTTTTGGGTAAAGGGGGACCTTCTTTCCCTCTCGGGACCCTATTAATCATCAGAGTGCTTTCTTGCTTTTTTTTAAGAGACGTGCTTATTCTTTAATGCAACCATAAATCAAGCAAGATGTTTTCTTGGTTTGCTTAAATTGTGCGGGATGCGATCTTTCCACCTCGCATTCTTTTTCACTTCTGTAATTTATAACGAGGAACTGAATGCTGAATGGGACTTTAGAAGGGAGTAAGAGAGGCTGTTCTGGTTTTCCACAAAAAAAAACAAAACAGGAAAATGCACTGACAGTGGTGAAAAGTAGTTGTCAACTATTTGAAAACTACCATCAGTGTTAGATTTTGGCCGATGCTGGCATGTCTTAATTAGTTTTATCCAACATAAATAGTTTGTATCTGCCAATAGTGCGAAGTTGTGAGGACATTTGCAGCTAGAATAGGGCTGCATAACTGAATGCCTTTGAAGTGCATTACTGCAAAAGAATTGGAAAATACAGAAATGCAGAAGGAAAAAATGGTAAAAAATAATGCTGGAGAAGGGAAGATTTTGATTTTATTTCTAAGTGTTTAAACTAAGCCCAACAGACATTACAGTACTTTCCCAAAATTGTTTTGCAGTTCCACAATACTGATGGCAATAGAGGACTGTATGTCTTTTTATCCATAAATTGTACAGGCTGGTAAATGATCTCAGAAAAATCCAATATTGTAAAGCAGCCCATGCAAGTCTTTGAAAATCACAGTGCAAAATGCAAACCAGCATGCTCATCTCCATAATGAGAAAACAGAACTGCTTTTCTGAGCAAGGTTTATTCTTAGTTCAGTGTTCTAGTGTCACTTTATACACATAGCTGCTATAGTTGCTTTGTGAGTACGGAACAAGACTACCGCTACATCCAAGCGTGGAAGAGAGTAGTAGTACAATTCCTAAGTCAGTAGGAGGTAAGAACTGCTGTGTTGCATGAAGCAAAATACCACTGATCAGCTCTGTGGAGTCAGCAGCTCCCACTGAGTTCCTGGAGGCACAGAAATGACTGGGTTATAACAGGACAAGTAAGACTCCAGTCTCTGTGCAAGAGCAGGGCTTAGTTCAGAGTTCAATCAGTTGCCTGAAAAATGCAGAATAAAAGAGTGTTACAGTAGAGCAGTGTATATGGTACGACACAGAGTCCTGCTGTACTTTGGATGTTGAATACATGGACTGCACTGCTCGCCTTGCAGTGAGATGCAATGTGTGAAATCAGGGTCTGAGAGATACCCGCTGAATTGTGGGTGGATAAGACATGTCCCTTCATTTCATGTCTTGGGGCATTTCATCGCTTGAATTGGGAGAAATCACTACATCTGGCTCTCGGGGAACTGCCTTCGTGCAAGGCTTTTTCAGCCATGA